TGGTGCGGGCACAACTTCTATAGGTAGTAACACTGGTATGTGCACAACTTCTATAGGTAGGCAAGACTGGTATGGGCACAACTTCTATAGGTAGGCAACACTGGTATGGGCACAACTTCTATAGGTAGACAAGACTGGTATGAGCACAACTTCTATATGTAGACAAGACTGGTATGAGCACAACTTCTATATGTAGACAACACTGGTGTGGGCACAACTTTTATAGGTAGACAAGACTGGTATGAGCACAACTTTTATATGTAGACAAGACTGGTATGAGCACAGCTTCTATATGTAGACAAGACTGGTATGAGCACAACTTCTATATGTAGGCAACACTGGTGTGGGCACAAATTTTATAGGTAGACAACATTGGTGTGGGGACAGCCTCTATAGACCTCACTAGTATGGGCATAGCTTCTATAGACAACATTGTTGTGGGGACAGCTTCTATAGGTAGACAACACTGGTATGAGCACAACTTCTATAGGTAGACAAGACTGGTATGGGCACAACTTCTATATGTAGGCAACACTGGTGTGGGCACAACCTCTATATGTAGGCAACACTGGTGTGGGCACAACTTTTATAGGTAGACAAGACTGGTATGGGCACAACTTCTATAGGTAGACAACACTGGTATGAGCACAACTTCTATAGGTAGACAAGACTGGTATGGGCACAACTTCTATATGTAGAAAAGACTGGTATGAGCACAACTTCTATAGGTAGACAACACTGGTATGGGCACAGCTTCTATGTGTAGGCAACACTGGTGTGGGCACAACTTCTATAGGTAGACAACACTGGTGTGGGCACAGCTTTATTTACCACATTGGTGTGTATACAGCTTCTAACGGCAACATTGGTGTGTATACAGCTTCTAACGACAACATTGGTGTGTATACAGCTTCTAACGACAACATTGGTGTGTATACAGCTTCTAACGACAACATTGGTGTGTATACAGCTTCTAACGACAACATTGGTGTGTATACAGCTTCTAACGACAACATTGGTGTGTATACAGCTTCTAACGACAACATTGGTGTGTATCCAGCTTCTAACGGCAACATTGGTGTGTATACAGCTTCTAACGACAACATTGGTGTGTAAACAGCTTCTAACGACAACATTGGTGTGTATCCAGCTTCTAACGACAACATTGGTGTGTATACAGCTTCTAACAACGACAACATTGGTTTAGGTATAGATATAGACAACATGTGTGTGGCACAGCTTCTATAAATAATAAATTTCTTTTCGAAACTTCTATAGACAACTTTGGCACGGACACTTCTATAGACACTTCAATAGACAACTTTGGTACGGTCACTTCTATAGACACTTTTATAGACAACTTTGGCGTGGGCACTGCTTAGGAAACATTGTTTTGGGAACAGCTATTACAGACAACATTGTTGGACACATGTAGACAACTTTAGTGCTGACACGTCTATAGCTAACATTTGTGTGAACATTTCTGTAGACAACTTTGGTGCAGACACTTCTGTAGACAATATTGGTTGGTAGAGACACAGCTTTAGAAAACAGTCCTGCATACACAGCTATAGAACAACTTTGGGGCGGACATTGCGATAGACAACATTGGTTGGTATGGACACATCAGAGAACATTCCTGCAAACACAGCTATAGACAACACTGGTGTGGGTACAGCTATAGACAACACTGGTGTGGGTACAGCTATAGACAACACTGGTGTGGGTACAGCTATAGACAACACTGGTGTGGGTACAGCTATAGACAACACTGGTGTGGGTACAGCTATAGACAACATTGGTGTGGTACAGCTATAGACAACATTGGTGTGGACATTTCTGTAAACAACGTTTGTGTGGGTACAGCTAAAAAAAACAACACCAGTGAAGACACATCTTTCTTTAGACAACACTGGCATAGGTACAGCCATAGACAACCTTGGTGGGGGTACAGATATAGACAATCGTTGGGGTGAGCATAGCTTCCAAAGGCAACCTTGTTGGGAGTACGGTTATAGACAACACTAGAGTGAGCATAGCTTCCAAAGACAACCTTGTTGAGAGTACAGCAATAGACAACACTGGAGTGAGCATAGCTTCCAAAGACAACCTTGTTGGGAGTACAGCTATAGACAACACTGGTGTGAGCATAGCTTCCAAAGACAACCTTGTTGGGAGTACAGCTATAGACAACACTGGAGTAAGCATAGCTTCCAAATACAACCTTGTTGGGAGTACGGCTATAGACAACACTGGAGTGAGCATAGCTTCCAAAGACAACCTTGTTGGGAGTACAGCTATAGACAAAACTGGTGTAAGCATAGCTTCCAAAGACAACCTTGTTGGGAGACAAACTGGAGTGACTATAGCAACCAAAGAACAACCTGGTTGGGAGTGAGCATAGCTTCCAAAGACAACCTTGTTGGGAGTACAGCTATAGACAAAACTGGTGTAAGCATAGCTTCCAAAGACAACCTTGGGAGTACAGCTATAGACAACACTGGAGTGACCATAGCTTCCAAAGACAACCTTGTTGGGAGTACAGCTATAGACAACACTGGAGTGAGCATAGCTTCCAAAGACAACCTTGTTGGAGTACAGCTATAGACAACACTGGAGTGAGCATAGCTTCCAAAGACAACCTTGTTGGGAGTATAGCTATAGCAACACTGGAGTGAGCATAGCTTCCAAAGACAACCTTGGTGGGAGTATAGCTATAGCAACACTGGAGTGAGCATAGCTTCCAAAGACAACCTTTGTGGGAGTACAGCTACAGACAACACTGGAGTGGGCACAGCTGCCTAAGCACAACCTTGTTGGGAGTACAGTTTCTAAGACAAACGTGGTATACAGAAAGTTTGCGAAGCGGGTAAGAAAGGACAAAGCTAACATGAACATGACTTTACCATGTGTGTGAGAGAACACACACACACACACACACACACACACATATAATATATATATAGCTATATAAATAACGACTTTAACCATGTGTGTGGGAGAACACACACACACACACACACACACACACACACACATATATATATATATATATATATATATATATATATATATATATATATATATATATATATATATATATATATATATATAAGTATATATATACCTATATATATCAAACGAATTTACCATATATGTGAGAGAACATATATATAAAACGACTAAACTATATGAGTGAGAGAACATATACATAAAATTACTATACTATATGAGGAAGAGAACATACATAAAACGACTTTAACATATGTGTGAGAGAACATTTATATAAAACGACTTTACCATATGTGTGAGAGAACATATATATATAAAACGACTTTACCATATGTATGAGAGAACATATATGCAAAATGACTATACTATATGAGGGAGAGAACATATATATAAAACGACTTTACCATATGTGTGACAGAACATATATATAAAACGATTTTACCATATGTGCGAGAGAACATATATGAAAATATCTATGCGGACAGAAATCTGTGGGCAAAATGTGTGTGGTCAAAATGTGAGAGCAGACAGTGTCAGCTGTTGTTTTGAGCAGCAATCCATCACTCGTGTAGCTCATAGCTGTATTTTCCTTTAGCTTGATTGTTTCACGCCCACTTTTGAATTGTTACTTTGATTATTGGAATTATTGTTATAAATGTTTTCTACCCATGTTTCAGACTGCCGAAACGATAAACGCCACCAGTGTATGGGTCTCATTTACTGAAAGGTAGCATTGTGAACATTCCAGCATCGTGCACGACAGGCACCTCTGATGCCACAGTGGGACTTTCACTTTGTCCATGGAAACCATACTTGTCCTGGAGGCGACGGAAAGCAGTGACTCAATGAATCCTCTTTGATGTGACCCTTGACGTCTGCCCACCCCTACCTGCGAGATGTCATGGAAACTGTCTGTTTCCAGCCACGATGAGCAGACCTGTCATGCACCCATTGAGCTAGCAGACACACACAGTCTCACATGTGGCAGAAGTGTTGTGGATGCTCCAGCACAAATGATCAAAGCCGGACGTTCTTGTAGCGTAGATTTGCTGTCCATAGAAGCAGGGCTTGATGGCTGTGTGTGTCCAGTTAGTGATAACGCCATCACAGTGGACCTCATCCAAGCCACCACAGAAACACAACGCCAGGAGATCAGTAAAGCATGCCAGGTGATCGCCTCTAGTTCTGTAGAAAGAAATCCCCAAATCACATACACGAGCAGTTCCGCTGTGACAGACACCTTGAACAAAACTCTTCACCAGCCCACTGATCACCGCCTGCACCTACAGTTGGACAACGGTCAGTGCGCCCATCCTCACTGTCTCCACCAACAGAGGGACAACGGTCAGTGCAGCCATCTCCATTGTCTCCACCAACAGGGGGACAACGGCGGGTGCAGTTATTCTCATTGTCACCACCAACAGGGGGACAACGGTCAGTGCAGCCATCCCCATTGTCTCCACCAACAGGGGGACAACGGCGGGTGCAGTCATTCTCATTGTCACCACCAACAGGAGGACAACGGTCAGTGCAGCCATCCTCATTGTCTCCAACAACAGGGGGACAACGGCGGGTGCAGTCATTTTCATTGTCACAACCAACAGGGGGACAACGGTCAGTGCAGCCATCCTCATTGTCTCCACCAACAGGGGGACAACGGTCAGTGCAGTCATTCTCATTGTCACCACCAACAGGGGGACAACGGCCACTGCGTTTATCCTCATTGTCACCACCAACAGGGGGACAACGGTCAGTGCAGTCATTCTCATTGTCACCACCAACAGGGGGACAACGGCCACTGCGTTTATCCTCATTGTCTCCACCAACAGGAGAACAACAATGGCTGCCACAAAGGCACTTGGTTGCAGTCTTTCTCTAAGCATTTTGAAATTTCAGGCTGGAGGGAACACACCAGTGATCACGCTGATATTCTGGAAGGCCGCTGTGTCGATGCTACCCAGACTGAAAAGATATCACTTCTGCAGCTAATGGACAGCGTATCAGCCTCGCTCATGCAGGAGAAAGGTCAGTATCACCTTTTCTTCTCCCACTGTCCCCAAGACCGACAGTGGGTGGAGCATCTGATCGCAGAATTGCAGTCTCCACCCTATAACTATCTATGTACGTACACTGCTCTCCATGACGACCAACAGCAAAGCGTCCTGCGTGCCGCCATGCTGAGCCAGCAGGTGGTCTTAGTTCTCAGCAGACACTATCTCCAAGGAACCTGGGCATCCTTCGAGAAGACCATGAGGCAGCTTTCGCAGATGAGTCAATATCATCATCAGGTGCTGGCAGTATTGCTAGAAGACTGTGACATCCCAGAATCCATTGGCAGTTTCTACTGCCTGGAGGCTCGTGCACCAGATTTTTTCCTGGCATTCACCAGCAGATTCCAGTCAAGTAAGTGCCAGTTCTTTCCCCTTTGTTGGTACACTGTCCTAGTTGGTACACTGTCCTAGTTGGTACACTGTCCTAGTTGGTACACTGTCCTAGTTGGTACAGGTCCCTGCTAATATGTTATTTGTGTTACCGGTACACCGATATGCTAATGTTAACTTTATTGTCCAAAACTTTTATTACAGCTTGTAATTACCACTTCTGTGTTGTAGGCCGGATAAGATTTTGTGTGCCCCGGACAGCAACAAAATCTCCAACTTTAACAAGAATTCACTTTCACATCTCTGGCAATGTTACACTAATGGTAATGTTAGACAGATGTTAATGTTACACAGATGTTAATGTTACACAGATATTGTTGTTACAGAGATGTTAATGTTACACTGATAGTAATGTAATATATATATATATATATATATATATATATATATATATATATATATATATATATATATATATATATATATATATATATATATATATATAATATTTCAGAGATAGTAATGTTACATATATAGTGATGTTGCATATATGTTTATGTTAAACAGAGTTATTGTCACATAAATGTTAATGTTACACCGATGATAATGTTACACAATTGATAATGATACACAGCTGGAAATATTACACAAATACTAGCGTTAAATGTATGTTAATATTACACATTTTTTTATGTTACACAGGTGCTAGTAATAAATACATGTTAATGTTAAACAGAGTTAATGTTAAATACATGTTAATGTTATACAGTTGTTAATGTTACACAAATGTTAATGTTACATGGATGTGTATGTTACACTGATGTTAATGTTACACTGCTGTTAATGTTACAAGGGAAAATAATGTTAGATAGATCTTAATGTTACATATATGTTAATCTTACACAGATATTATTGTTACACTGATGTTAATGTTACAATGATGTTAATGTTACATCATCATCATCATCAGGTGCCTGGCCGCCTGGCGTGGGCGATCATGCCTCTCCATAATCTGCGATCTCATGCAGCATGTATCAGTTCGTGTGCCGACACACCTCCATGCCATGCAACAAGACTGTCAAGCCAATGTTACATTCATTCATTCATTCAGTAGCATGTCCCTCGCGGAACCTCGCTGCCATAACAACCCTCCGGAAAACCTTCCTATCATGAGCAAGATGTCCTGCGTCTGATACACCCATCTGGAGATCATCTGCCACATCCTGCACCCATCTTCTCCTTGGCCTTCCTCTTCCTCTCTTCCCAGGCATATACCCCTCCATTATTGTTCTCTCTAGACCTCCATGACGTTTCAAGTGACCAAAATATTTCAATTTTCTTTGTTTTATTGTCTTTACTAGCCAACCCTCTTCAATATTCAGCTCTTGAAGTATGGATGCATTTGTTCTTTTCTTTACCCAAGATATTCTTGTCTGTAACATTTATATTCAAATGCATTTATTCGCTGTTCCGCTTGTTTAGTAAGTGTCCAGGTCTCACAGGCGTATGTTGCAATGGGAAGATGCATGCTCTTAAAAATCTGACCTTTGTAATTCTATCTGTACAATTCCATAATTTATTCAGTTGTTTTAGTCTTTGAAGAGCAATTGATAGTCGCCGTTTAATTTCTTTCATTGTGTCACCATTGTTGGTAACCAGTGACCCAAGATATTCGAAATTTTCCACCACTTCCAATCTTTCCTCATTAACATATATTTCCTTCTCCATGGCAGTTTTGTTTGTATGCATTATCTTTGTTTTTGCTGTGTTAAGAAATAAGTTATGATTTTCACTATTTCTTTGGAGTGAGGTTAATAAGTTTTCTAAACCATTTTGTGATGTTGATAGTAATACTGTATCATCAGCATAAAGAATTTCTGGTATTTCATGACCACCGATGTTTAGGGCATCATATTGTTCCTTGTTTATATCATCTCTTACATTTCTCATTATATTTTCGGCGTACAGGTTGAACAAATACGGTGACAGCACACATCCCTGACGGACTCCTTGCTTGATGCCAAACCAGTCTGATGTCTCTCCATCTATTCTGACTGCTGCTTGTTGGTCTTGATAGAGCATTTTAATGAGCTGCACTATATGTGATGGAAAGCCCATATTCCTCATGATTTCCCAAAGCTTCTGATGTCGTACACAGTCAAATGCTTTTGAATAATCCACAAAACATAAGAACAGATTTACATTAAATTCTCTACACTTCTCTATTATTAAACGCATGTTGAATATATGATCTCTTGTTCCTCTTCCCTGTCTAAATCCAGCCTGAGCTACATTAATCTCTTCTTCCATTTTTTTTTGCAGTCTTCTCATTATAATTTTTAGTAGAATTTTACTTGCATGACTGATCAGGGCAATAGTTCGATAGTTTGTACATAATTTCAGGTCACCCTTTTTTGGTATTGGAATGAAGATAGTTCTCTTCCAGTCTTTTGGCCAAATACCATATTTCCATATCTTTTCACATAATGCATGATAGATTTTTATGCTTTCTTCTCCTCCCGCTTTAATCAATTCAGCTGGTATCTCATCACATCCAGGTGATTTACCATTTTTCAGGCTCCTTATTGCCCATGAAATTTCATCTAATGAAGGTTCAGGTTCTGCCTCTACTGTTACTGGTTCATGTATATCATTCATATCCTCACTGTCATTCATATCATACATTCCGCTGCAGTATTCCTGCCATCTTCCTAGAATTTGTCTAGATTCTGTTAAAGTATTTCCCAACCTGTCACAAATAACAATGTTACATACATTTTAAAATTACACTGAAGATAATGTAACACTGATCTCAATGTTACATATATAGTAATGTTACATATATTTTTTTTATTGTTACAGAGAGTAATGTTAAGATAATAGATAATACAGATAACAGATAATAATATTACACAGATGATAATATTATACAGATGCTAATGTTACTCAAATATTTAAGTTACACTTATGTTAATGTTACAAGGTGTTAATGTTGTACATGTGTTAATGTTAAATACATGTTAATATTAAATACATGTTAATGTTACACAGGTGTTAATGTTACATGGGTGTTAATGTCCCACAGATGTTGGTGGTAACATAGATGTTTATGGTAAATAGATGTTAATGTTACAAATGTGTTAGTGTTTTACAGATATTATTGTTTCCTTTTTTAATTTTACAGTGATATGTAACAACATAATGTTAACTAACCTACAACGATTATAACAGTAGAGTAAAGCTGACCTACAACAGTTTGATAATAGAGTTCAATTGACCTACAAAACTTTCACAGTAGAGTAAAACAAATTTACAGCAATAAGACAGCAGGGTAAATCTGACCTGCAACAAACATGACATCAGGGTCAATTTAACCTACAACAGTGTGACAACAGAGTAAACTGTCCGACAACTGTATGACAACAAAGTCAACTGACCGACAACTGTATGACAACAGAGTAAACTGACCTATGACTGTATGACGGCAGATTAGAGCTGAACTACAATAAAATGTACGTTGTCACTGATAATTGTCATCAATATCGTTAGTGTCATCGTCATGTTGATAAAGATCGTCATCACTATCATCCCTATCTTCAGTATCTTATTCCGCAGTCTCGTTCTTTGACAGGTCACCGGCTACACAGTAGTGGTTCAGTAGGCAGCGATGTGAGCCAGGGGGAAAGGGAAAGTCCTTGTGAGTATCTTCATATACTGTCGTTATAGTGTTGAGCCAGTGCACACATAAGTCGCCCCTATTATTGCCCGACCTTTGTTGGTCCACAGTATCTTCATGTCCTATTGTTATAATGGTGAAGTTAGTTGTCGATGTGTCCATAACGTCTGTTGGTCCACAGTATCTTCATGTCCTATTGTTATATTGGTGAAGTTAGTTGTCGATGTGTCCCTGACTTTTGTTAGTCCACAGTATCTTCATGTCCTATTGTTATATTGGTGAAGTTAGTTGTCGATGTGTCCCTGACTTTTATTGGTCCACAGTATCTTCATGTCCTATTGATATAATGGTGAAGTTAGTTGTCGATGTGTCCATGACTTCTGCTGGTCCACAGTATCTTCATGTCCTATTGTTATATTAGTGAAGTTAGTTGTCGATGTGTCCCTGACTTTTGTTAGTCTACAGTATCTTCATGTCCTATTGTTATATTGGTGAAGTTAGTTGTCGATGTGTCCATAACTTCTGTTGGTCCACAGTATCTTCATGTCCTATTGTTATATTGGTGAAGTTAGTTGTCGATGTGTCCCTGACTTTTATTGGTCCACAGTATCTTCATGTCCTATTGTTATAATGGTGAAGTTAGTTGTCGATGTGTCCCTGACTTTTGTTAGTCCACAGTATCTTCATGTCCTATTGTTATAATGGTGAAGTTAGTTGTCGATGTGTCCCTGACTTTTGTTGGTCCACAGTATCTTCATGTCCTATTGCTATATAGGTGAAGTTAGTTGTCGATGTGTCCCTGACTTTTATTGGTCCACAGTATCTTCATGTCCTATTGTTATAATGGTGAAGTTAGTTGTCGATGTGTCCCTGACTTTTATTGGTCCACAGTATCTTCATGTCCTATTGATATAATGGTGAAGTAGTTGTCGATGTGTCCATGACTTCTGCTGGTCCACAGTATCTTCATGTCCTTTTGTTATAATGGTGAAGTTAGTTGTCGATGTGTCCATAACTTCTGTTGGTCCACAGTATCTTCATGTCCTATTGTTATATTGGTGAAGTTAGTTGTCGATGTGTCCCTGACTTTTATTGGTCCACAGTATCTTCATGTCCTATTGTTATAATGGTGAAGTTAGTTGTCGATGTGTCCCTGACTTTTGTTGGTCCACAGTATCTTCATGTCCTATTGTTATAATGGTGAAGTTAGTTGTCGATGTGTTCATAACTTCTGCTGGTCCACAGTATCTTTATTTCCTATTGTTATATTGGTGAAGTTAGTTGTCGATGTGTCCCTGACTTTTATTGGTCCACAGTATCTTCATGTCTTATTGTTATATTGGTGA